CTCAAACTGAAACCCAGTTCACCTAAAACTAATCACCTGTCACTGATCTTCAGATGTTTGATTATTTCTGCTTAATTTCTGTTCAGCTAAAAAGAGAAAGAGTCTAAGTTCTCTAAGATTATACAATACAGGTCACGTTTTAAAGTAAATGGCATCTAAAAAGCAGTATTTCCATTTTCAAATGTTTGTCTTGTGTTAGAGTAAAACTACTTTTTTGCAGGGAAAGAGGGAGATGAGGAGAGATGGGGAAGTGCAGCACTTGATAGCTTGGCAAGTAGGAATATATAGGAGGTTTGCACTTAGGTCTTGTCTCTCTACCTGACAGACAGTTTGTCCTGGTGCACTATGAAACTACACAGTCAGTCTTCCTCTGATTCAATATTTAATTAACTGATGAAAGACAGCAGCATTCTTACAGGAGCTCTGGTTAATGTGTCAATCACTTAAACAGCCAGGATGTATATTAAAGGCAGATATGAGCATCCATGCCAAGGGACACTTGTTTGCTCATTTCCTCCAGCCTTTAAAAATCATGAGAGCTTCTGGCTAGGGTATTCCTATCAGAAAGAATCACTGCTCGAAGACTGATGGGAATAATTTACTACTGTGACATGGACTCCTTGGAAATGTTCTGCAAACTGCAAGTGGTCAACAAACCATCTTTTCAGTTTATTGCTCTGACTCTGGCCTGAAAATTCAATTTAAAGAGAGAATGATTTGTAGGAATCATGGAACATGAGTAAAATATTTTATCTTCTTATTACTGACAGGTCTTGGAGTAATCATAATTCTTCTCGCCACGATGGTAACCTCAATTACTGGGTTGTCAACTTCCGCAATAGCAACTAATGGGTTTGTCCGTGGAGGTAAAAATCTTAGGGTTACTAATGCGTTCAAGCCCAAAAAGGTCTTTGTGTATTATTTTCATATGAGACAAACCAGAGGGACGATAAACCAAATGGTACCTCTAAAGGAACTGGAAGGTAACAATTCTAGCCACCTCTAATCACAATTTATGGCACGTTTGAGTTGTCATTTTTAATAAATCCCAGATTTCAGTTCAGTCTGTGAAGTACATTTCAGATGTTCCTGCCTACGGCTGAGGAGGGATGGCTTCTGGCTATTCATGGAGTTCTTCTGTTACCTTGCAGCAATTCTTTCTTAGTCAGAGCATTCCAGGTTGGACATCGTTGGACACAGAAAGCATGAGGCATCTCTTCCTCTCATTTTAAAGACTGATGCAGATCAGCGGATATATTCAATTTATAAAACTCTTTACATTTCAGCCACTCTTTGGAAGATGAGTGAATAATTTTGCTGGAAAAGTGCATGTCAGGTATTTTATGAGACAAAGTTTTAGTGCATTTCAGGGTCTTAAAGTTATAACTGGTCTGCTCTAACCTCTGTGGAAAATGGCAAGTTCTTACTACATCATTTAAGCAGAACAGGTATTTGAATACACTTGAATATACTTTCTTTTTCGGATCTTTCAGGTCTTGGAATCATAGTTATTGGTCTGAGTGTAGTAGTAACAACATTAACAGGTGTCTCCATGTCTGCCATTTGCACTAATGGAGTAGTAAGAGGAGGTAAGTGAATATGATCTCATGAAAAATACAAAAAATCTGCAATTTGGATTAAAAAAAAAACGGAATTGAGAGAACTGTGTTATAAGCAAAGCAATAATAAATAAAAAGTTTGGAGTGATCTCTCTCAATGGATCAACAGTAAATTAAAATGTATATCATCTTAAACACTTCCTGACAATAAATATTAAGTGCCAGCAAGATGAGATTAAAGAATTAACTGACAAAGGAATATGTTCCATTTATCGTGATATGCAAAAAGGATTAAAGTTTCACTACATCACTATGAAGGAGCTTTAACAACGTGCCCCAAAATATGATCTTTCACGCTAACATTGGGATAGATTTGAGAACGTTAGAACCCATCTGGAATTGTGGTTCTCTCTGCTCTGTGTTACTATATTATGCAGCATGAAAAATTATTTGAAGGTTCAGTTTTGCATGCTAATATGCACTAAAAAGATTCCTGCAATAAAAAGGCATACAGAAGAGGCTGAAGGCAGAACCAGCACAAAGCACATGCACTTTTTTTATCAGTGTCCTTTATTAATATAGGGCACATATTGATTATATTTGTTAGGCTAAAAGCAGAAATTTCTGTGGTATTATTTATGTGAGAAAAATGAGCAAAACCTGAGCGTTTAGGTGTGCTGAAATAACAATAATTTCTGTCTGCAGGTGGAGCATACTATCTTATCTCAAGAAGTCTAGGCCCAGAGTTTGGTGGATCTATAGGACTCATCTTTGCTTTTGCAAATGCAGTGGCAGTCGCTATGTACGTAGTTGGATTTGCTGAGACAGTTGTAGAACTTCTTAAGGTAAATGTAGATGTTTCATGTATATGATAAAATTGGTTTGGCTTTTTTGTTTTGTGGGGCTTTTTTTTTTTTTTTTTTCTTTGTTTTGGTTTGGGCATTTCTTGTCTGTTTGCTTGTTTTATATATTTGTTTAAGCAGAGATTCTTTTTAGCTGAGGCTTGAGGGACACTTTTAGCAGAGAAGAAGCTGGTCTGTCTGAACATGCCATAGAGTGCCTCTCCATTTTTTCTACCTTATGAATATATTTCATACATTTCTTAACAAGAATCTCAAAATCAGAAAAGGAACAGATATCTAATTAGCCAAATAACTCCAGCTACAAAAAGCCAGCTGGAACATGGAATACAAACACTTGGTCTCACAAATCTCTGAAACTTTGACAGCTCACTGCTTTGTATTTCACCTTGTTACCTGGTCCCACCAGCGGGGCAGAGAAAGACTGGCTCTAATAAAATTTCTTACTGCTTTCAGGAGAGTGATACACTGATGGTAGATGAATCCAATGACATCAGAATAATAGGGACCATAACTGTTGTATGTCTTCTTGGCATCTCTGTTGCTGGCATGGAATGGGAAGCAAAGGTAAACCTTTAAAAGAACATAAAAGCAAGCAGTATATTAGACTACTGTGCAGTGTTTGTGTGTGAGGAATGCTATACAAAGCTTCAGTTTACGCTTAATCTTTCTAAAAGCACTAGCAGTTTAATCATTACATTCAATGAAAGCACAATTACTCCATGCTCTTCCTTGAACATACATTTATAAGGGAAGAGGAAGTTTGTGTTCTGCAGACAACTTGATTATATTGATTTTTATAATTCACGGCATCATTTAGAGCCTTGGGTAAGTGCCCCTTTTGCCCTTATTTTTGATGCAGCTTGACAGAATAAACAGTAGTAAAAACAATATATGGTTTTATCACTGTACTCTCTCTAGCCCTACTCAGCAGAAGAGCTCTATTTGCTATCCATTCCTTAATCTCTAATGATTTCTGCTATTCCTTCACCTGTAAAAAAACTTCAAAATGGAAATTCAAATGGAAATAATTTAGAGGGTGGAATACAGCTATCAAAATCAGGTCCAGAGTAGCACCCTTATTTTTACATTCTGCTGTAATGGAGAACTAGTAAGAGATCAGAAAAACAATTAGATATTATAACCCTTGAAGTGACAACCCACTGCAACTAAACAAATTTTATAACAGTATAAAAATGTCGTATACTTGATATTAATGCATTAGCTCTTTCGTTTTGCCTTTTCTTGTAAAGAAACTAACATAAAATTAAATTATAACTATATATTTTGTAACCCGCTTAGTAAAAACTATCTGCTCTTGTCATTAGCTGATTCAGCTGTCTTGATTCCTGGTATTTTTGAAAACTACAGAAACTATTAATCTGTCATAGGGAACACATATAGATAACTTACTATCTCTACAGTCAATGTAAATTAAAATAATCAGGAAAATCTTTTTGTTTCTATTAATAGGCTCAAGTTATTCTTCTGTTTGTTCTCCTCATTGCCATTGCAAACTTCTTTATTGGGACAGTCATTCCTACCAACAATGAAAAGAAGGCAAGAGGCTTTTTTAATTACCAAGGCAAGTAACTTTGCTATCTATCATAAATAATAAGTTTGCATTCTTTTTGGCTTCATACTGAATTAAGGATTCCACTGAAAAGGGTCACAAGATCAGGATCTTCTGCCCGAGTTTAAGTAAGCTTGCAAACCAAGGGAATTTATTTCATCTTTAATTTTGAGTCTGTCTCTCAGCTGCTGAAGCTGACAGCACAGTTAGCTGCAGCTTGAGTCATTTATATATCAGCAAAGCACAGACAAACTTTTACACAGAGCTAAGTGCAAGTGCTGTAGTGACACTCCTGTCACTTCAGTATGGATCTGTAGCTCTGAGATGCAGACAAGCACATCCTACTGGGGACCAGACTAAGGAAATCAAATTCACTTTGCTTATGATATGAGACAGATTCAAACCCAGTTGTCCAGACATGAAAGACTAGCTTATTCACCTCGTTCATTAAGTAACTTTGGAATCAAATCCTGGTGGTATGTCTCATTTTTCACCTATATTTGCAGCATCAATATTTGCAGAAAACTTTGGACCAGATTTCAGAAGTGGAGAAGGATTTTTCTCGGTGTTTGCCATTTTTTTCCCAGCTGCCACTGGCATTCTTGCAGGAGCCAATATCTCAGGCGATCTGAAAGTACGTATTTCATTAACTTCACAATACTAGGCGTAGGCTGAAAAAAGAACAAGAAAACAAATTATGAATCAACACTGTATTCAGTTTTAAAGCATGTCTTATTTTGGTAAGCAAAACTCTCACTTTTAAGTACCTGCTTTACCATTTAAAAACATCAGTTCACATTTTCTCTCATAATGCATTATGGCTATTTACACAAATTACTGCATTTAGATTTGGGTTGCTATATCATTTAAAAGCATGTTTCAATAACCTGTAATAATATATCATTAATGGACCATTAGCAGCACATGACATAAGAGAAATTATATGCGTTATCTCCTGGCACTCTTCTTCAAAATCTCCTAAAACATCATCCCAAAAAGCACACCTGTAAAGCTCACGTTTATACTCACAAGAAGCAGCAGAGACCTGCTTTTTCTATTCAGGGTCATAGCAAGGGCAGAGCAAACAGAGCATTTAATGAAAGCAAGTATGACCCAATCCCATGTCACTACTGCTGCTCAAAGGAAAAGCTGCAGGTTTGCAGCGGTGACAAAGGAAAGGAGTTTGAGGAGAAAGGGAAAGGAGGTCCAAGGGTGCCCAACTCTCTTGCCATGGCCATTCTGTCAGGTCCTCCTTCTCCTCTTGTAGTACAGCAGTTGTATGAGACAATACTTCCAGTCTCTAAACATACAGGCAAATTAGAGACAGGAATTAGTTTTAACTTTGGGTGCCCTCTAGTTTTCATGACTTTGCACAGTGCATTTATGCAAAGAGCGTTTAAAGCTGAATGCAAAGTTGAAGTAATTCAAAGCTTACTAAAGCATTTGGTAAAACATCTCTAGTAAATGTGGAGCAATGCAATACTTAGTAATATTACAAGAAATTCAGAAATGCACCAGGGGTATCCATAACTCAAGTCTTGCAATCTAACACTAAAAAACAACCACAACCACCAAACAAAACCTAAAAAAAAAAAAAACAACCACAAAAGCCATCAAAAAGAATGTGGCTTACACCTTGGTAACTCCAGCATGTTAAATGAAGTTATTTGGCTTTATCATATAGACCCATTGCCTTGTATACCTTAAGGATTCAACCAAAGGTCTGGTATTTCTGTATTGGCACAGTAGTCCCAATTCCACCAGATCCTACCAATCCTGACAGCCAGTCCTGTTTCCCTTCCTCACACTGAGTTGCATGCCTCACCTCCTTTGTTTTCAGGGGACTGCTTTTGAAGCCAAGCAGAGAGAAATATGTAGAAACTGAGCCACTAATACTGGCTATGATTTTCCATTTTTAATTAAAAACACAAATACCATTGTGCTTCTGTCCAGTGAGACTGAATCAACCTCACACAATCTCCATCCTTTTATCAAACAAAAATTATTCTTTTGCCATATATGGTGCTCTCTATAGATGGCAAGGTCCCAAAGCAGCAGTGCTTCTTTCATAAGCTGTTTGAAAGAGTCTGAGCTTACCAAGGGAAGCAGCTCTCCAGTTGGCTCTCTGCAGTTGTTTCAGTCTGGCAATAAGTGGATTTCTATAACAAAGTCCTCCAGACTGCAGATTCCCCACTGAGCACAGTTAGATGCACTAGACAAGTCTAATTAAATTAACGAGCCTCTCCAGAAATCCAGAAGACAAACTAAGAAGTATTTTAGAAGTGTAAAGACGACTAATCAAACTTTCTTTAGAATTTGTTGCAAACACCTATGTCCACGCTCCTTCCGTAGCCACTACACACTCAAGTAGTGGGCTAGGCTAAAGCCTACTGAAAGAAACAGCAAGTCTTCCTAGTGACTTCAGGGGGGGTTGGCACAGGCCCTAAAGTGCTAACAGCATATTAAATACGTGTTTAATTATTGATCAAATTTAAAACTTGTAAAGCTGTAATCTTTAAATCTAAGATTTAATGTTACAGTGTTTAAGACTGCAGCACAAGACTCCACAAAAGGAATGACCTTAGACATGCACACCAGAACTGTATAAAGGTCTTATGCAGCTGAAGTGACTTCGTAATTATTTTTCAGCTCAACAAATCCTTACCTCATTTAAAAATTACATTAATTATTAACACAATTAAGTCATTCATCCATGTTTCACATGACACTCCAAATTTGTATCTTGTATTTTTTTCCCATGCAATGAGCATAGTTATAGAAGTACAAAAGTCTGTGGCTTAAAATGCATTCCACGCATCTTTGATTTAAAAAACTTGACTAAACCAACTCAAGAAGACAATTCATAACAAGTGCTTCCTAACATAAACAAACACACACTAAATTGTAAGGTTGGCTAGTATTAACATCCCCTTTAAAATTACAATATATAACGCAAATCTTTGGACTCTTACTTACAGTTGCATGATCAAAGCTGATATCGTTGTGAGCCAGTCTGTAAGCATTATAACGCAACCTTATTAAATTATCTAAATTAAAAGTCAAAACTGTGAAAAGAAGTAGACTGTTGTCAAGATGCAACTAAAAATTACTAGTTGCTAATCACAAAACTACTGTATTCTGTACAGGGTGACTATCTGCATCTATCTTGCAGATGAACCAAAAATGGTCCTGTCTTGTCATCCACAGGAGTTTGATGGTTAGTTCCGTAACTATTTGCCCATTCAACATTAAAATAAAACCCATTGCAATGTAAAGACATTTTTGAGCTCCCAGAAATGCAGAGCTCAGGACCCTCCTGCTGCTAGAAACAAGACCTCTGCTCCTACAGAATATCCTTCACTATGTCTAGGATAGGAGAGCTGCTTCACTATCTACATGCTGGAACAGGAAACGTTGGTGCAGGTCTAAGAGATAAAAATCCACCCTCTAAAGGTATCTTCATATCACAGTGTGGCAGGAAAAGCAATCAGACTGCAGCACCCAAACTCACAGTGTTTTTCGGGTCACTGCTTTGTTTTAAGGATCCACAGAGTGCGATACCCAAAGGAACGATGCTGGCCATTCTGATTACAACAGTTGCTTACATTGCCGTTGCAATATGTGCAGGTATGTACAGAACCTCTGCTTCATGTCTTAATTTATACAGTTAAAAAAGTTTGAAAGCCTGGTATGCAAATGAAGGATTAACATCACTGCTTTTTCATCCTCTGGATTTATTATGGGGAGAAATAGCTGTTTGGATTTTACTGTATGGAAAAACAGTGGAGAAAAAAAAGCAACAATCAGCAGAAACAAAAGTCTCTGTTGAGCAGCTGGACTTTCATATAACTTGTATGGTTACTTCTGCATTTGATTCAGTGACAAAGACCACTAGCATATAGTATCCATGAGCATAGTAAAGATGAAAGGAACCTCTGATCAATCTGCTGATTTTTTTGTACCTCATTCACATCAAAATTTTACATGGCTTCTACTTGCTCTCCCTAGTCTTACTGAGCACTCATGAGTAACAGGGTAACACACGTATTTGGTATGTTACATGTCAAAGATAGCAATCAATTGCCCATCTTAAGAAGACGCACTATATGATGACATGCTCTACAATACTGGAAAGTGAGGTAATAAAATGGACACAAGAGTAAATAGGAGACCTGTACTGAAGCCATGAACTGTGTTGGAGGAATATGCAATTAATCATTACAAGGATACAATAAATTTCTGTTCAAGAAAAAGATTTTTCTTTTTCTATTTTAATAGTACTGTAAGAAAGAGTGTTGTAAATGACACTCTTCCTTATAAGTAAATACCTCAGTACTGCAGGAAAGCCCTGCAGGGCACTCCATTTTCTGGGAGATGAATCTCAAGTCTTCTTGACTTTTGTGGTTCTTGTACTTTATGCAAAAAGGAGAATATTCAAGTCAAGCTGCAGCTCAGGTTATTGCATTATTTGGATCTAAATGTCCCCTGCAGTTAAAGTTTAAGTAGTAATTCTTCACTTTCTGTTATAAATCTGTGTTAATGCATTGTTCTATTGTCACAAGCAATAGCTGTATTTCAGGTTCAGAGCTGTCTACTTTTCAGTGCAATACTTTTTTTTTTTGGTCCTTTCTGTTTGCATATTGGTTTGCTAAACAGATAATGGTTACTTTGGGACTCTCAGTAACAACGTTTCTGACATATTTGAAGATAATGTATAAACTAATATTTTGGCTGCTAAAGATGATCAGCACTCTAAGTTAATTCCATATGTTTCTTCCCATTTCTGGTTGCAAGCAAAAAAAGACAGCATAAATATTAATAAAACCAAAAAGAATATAGGTGATTTCTCCCGTTTAAAGTTTTTTTCACCATATTGGTATCAGTAGGGCTATGACAATTTGAACAGCTGAGGATATGGGTCTCTAAAGCAATCTTGTGTCCTTGTTAAACAAAAAAAAAAGTGTATGCCTAGACCTAAGACCCTCACTGATCTGGTTCCTTGTAGTGGCACTTGTAAAAGTGGTCACAGGCAGACAATACGCTAGAGTTAGTTAATTTATTGTTGATCTCTGTCTGGTTCTCTACTCTCAGAAATATACTTGTCCTCATTAATCAACTGGGTGATTATTTTAAAAGTAACAGAAGTAAATATTTGCTTACAGACAACATGAGAACCTAAACCATACTACAGGGAAGTAATCCTTGCCCAACATGAAATGTTGCTCTTTGGTATGAGACTAAGGCAGCAGTTGTACAAAATGTGTGCAGACTAAGAGTCAAAGTGTGGCAAGAACATTCTTCCAATGTCACAAGGAAGGAAAATAATAATATATTGTTGTTTCCACAGCCTCCTGTGTTGTACGAGATGCTACTGGGAACATCAATGATACAGTTGTACCTGGAATGAGCTGCAATGGATCATCTGCCTGCAGCCTAGGCTATGATTTTTCCAGATGTGCAAGTCAGCCGTGTGATTATGGGCTGATGAATAATTTTCAGGTTTTAATTAGATAATACGTATAATCATAAGCAATATATAAATACATAAGTACAAACATCCAAAACCATTAGTTGCTGACCATTAACTGCAACAGGACATCTGCTTTTATCTAAAAAAGTAAAAGACAATAGGAATAATCAAAGGGAAAAGTCCCTTCATTCCACATTACCTTCATATTGCCCATCACTAGCCTTCCCAGCACTCTGGTAAAGTCTTTGCCTCCTATTTCTGCAAGTACCATGCGGCAGTCTGTGTTGCATCTTCAAACTCAAAATCTAGACTTAACAGAGACCTCAGGAAGTCCTGTTAGATGAGCAACTCATCTCACTGCTCTTTACACACGGATGTGATTCTACCTCAGGGGTGCTGTGGTCACTGTTAAAGGTTTGTGCCACAGTGCAAAAAAAAAGAGTTCTGACTTCTTAAAAAAAAAAAAAAAAAAAAAATAGTCTAGTGAAAAATCAAGTGAGAAGTAATGGAGTCTTTCTCCTGGGCCAGAGACACACTGCCATTTTTATTCTTCAAAATAAAGCTGAGGCAAGGCATCAAAAAGCAGTTCTGCAGCCTGACAGCCAGAGCTCCCAGATGTCTGTTCAGCCCCTGTGCTTCACAGCCTGTGAGAGGAGCTCACCACCCACCTGCACTTGCTTTTCAACTAGCCATTTGTAGCTTTTAAAGTCACTTGCTTTTTTCCCAGCTGGCTCTGCTAAATGACAGGGCTGGGTAACCACCTTAAAAGGGATATGCTGTCCCTGGCACAGACTGCTTCTTCCCTTCCTGATCATTTGCCATCCTCACTC